ATTTTTTATGTAAATTATATAGATAAAAAAATAAGCGGTTTCTTGTAAATTACAGTGTATGTGGAAGAGTCACTAAGAAGTTTCTTTAGTTATTAAACGTCACTTCACGCCTTAATTACTTAACCGATCAGCATGGAATATTGTACACACATTGCTAGGAGTAGAGAAAAGGACATAGGATATCTTTTATCTAAAAAACAAATATTGTACCTAAGGGACAGAAAAATCAGTTTTATGTGGTCGTCGATTACCTTTAACGCGTATTTAGGACATCAACGCGAGCGAAGCCGCGGGTAATGTTGAGAATGATAGATTTCAAGACAATATAAAGTTGATAAAGCCGATAGATAAAGCCGATAGATACCGCGACACTAGAAAACTGAAATTCATTTTGAAATCAACCGAAATACAAACTATATACAGTCCATTTCAATTTGTTAGAATTGTGACCTTGAAGAAATCTGCGCGAAGATAGAAAGAATACACACTAGGCGTGAGCAAGACAGAAATAGTTAGAACAAGCTTGAACGAGCAGAGCTCTCGATGGGCGGGCTTAGGAGATCGGCTAGAACTGTACAGTACTAGACGAAAATGTTTAGCAATTTCTTAAAACAAAAATGTATATAAATTAACAATAGAAAACAAGGCAAAAGTTTTATAGGGGTGGAGAACGTTAAGTTAATTCACTTGTTATTATTTTTGGATAAATATGCTTTTAAATAAAGCATTTTCTTAAATTTTAACGAGGCAGTTTAAATAATTTTGCAAATGGTACTGCACACTTTTGTCTAGTTCTCGCTCGATGATCGGTGGAGAAATGAGCTCCGCAGACAAATATGTTTAAATTGGGAATTATGCTACGGCGCATCCTAATAAAGCGAAGGGGCATATCTCTAACTTCTTGTAACGAACAGTACCTAATACCTTTTAAGCTTCAAAAGAGGCTAATTTAAAGTCCAGTTTGATTGTTACATATTGCATTGGCAGACGCCGGGTTGTTGAATTGACATACGAAAGGAAGAAGAACCTTTCTTTAATTTTTTCACAGCTCACTAAGGTACCATAAATTGCTTGCTAGTACGTTGGTATTACATAACATTAATTAAAGGGAGTGATTCTTTTTTACGTCGGAGCTAATTATTTCAATGTCTCGACCGAATGCATTTGAAATAAAGGTAAAAAGGAGGGGTCCCGTGCGTATTTCCTGCGATATTCCCTTTGCATCGGAAACTCGCTAGCATGTATTAGGTACAACAGACACATCCACAGATGTTTCGATGACCCATATATGTGTGTATCTATACATATAAATTATTATCGCATGACTGATCTGTCGAATAATAATGCCGGGAAACGAGACATACCGCGCGGGCATGCGTTTTATTCCACTCGATCCTATCCATGCTGAATTATTTTAATTGGTTTCGAATCGAGTAGGCCTAAGGAAAAAAAAATGGTCGAGGAAACGCATTAATTAGCTTTCTAGATTTGGAAAGTGGGAGTGAAGTTGTACACGGCGAAACGGTTTACATACCTGACAACAAACGTAGAAATGTATTAATTCCTTCTATATAAACAAGGGTGTTTAGTACAAAATATACAGAGTGTACCAAATTTAAGGGTTGCACATTATCACTAATTTTATGTGGATAATGACTAATTAAGGGGATTGACCGCAATAGACCGCTCGAAAACATGGGTTTCTATTCTAAACATTGCGATTTAGCGCTGCGAGATAAATATCTGATTTTTTGTATGGTAACAGACAAAGGTTCACACTAACTCGGTACGTTTTTGGTTTTCAATAATATGGTCATTAAAAGCTTTTACAAGTGCTTAAAGTTGGTGCTTCTTGTAGGACATGTATTTTCAATAGAAATTAAAAAATTAAAAAAGGGCCTTCGACACGATTTAGAACAAAGCTTTATCTACCTTACTGCAAAATTTCAAACCTCTGTTCCAAACATTAAACTTATGATATTTAGAACCGATAAGCATTTTTTTACTCTGCGGTGCGTCTACTACTGAATCCCCTTAATGTATCGACATCTTTTGAGTATGTACTGTACTATTAATTTTAATTGCGAATTTCTCAATAAATTGATTTTATTTTGATACATATTGGTTTTATTTTGGAACCTTAGAATGTATCCCTTATGATTCCACGGTTTCTGTATTCGCAGCATATTCATGGAACGTGTACAATGCGAATAAAGAGCGTTTACTGCACTAATAGTAGGTTAGACTGAGTTCGGTTTTCTGTATTTCCTGAATTAGTATTGATCGATTCGTTAATAGCGGAGTCGCATACTTTGGAACCGCCTATAATAGACTGCAGCATCCGCTTTACGTTATTAGTACATATCATCCTTCAATTTAAACATAGAGGGCTATTACTTCGTCTGATAATAATAATTTTTTTATACTACAATTAGTTACAATACGATTCGATTATAGTGGACAAAAAACGATGTTTTTGTTGGAAACAATTGCGTAGAGTCGCCTTTAGTGAACTAAACTTAAAGAACAACTTCGCATATTTCTTATAATAAGATACCATCTGTTCGGTTACAGTGGACATTGTCGCATTATGGAACTCTTCTCTATAACCGGACTCTACAATGTACCTATATAAGAAAGAAATCGTTACGCGGTTTGTCTCCGACAGGCCATTACGTATTTACCGATAAGAAAGTAATGCAATTATCAAACAGGTATTGAGTACGCTACCTACCAATCAGTTCTAATGTCTTTTTAATTAAATTTACTGTTTGCGCCAAAGATGCCAACACATGTGATTGCTTTTAAGCCGCAATTGTCGCGCGGACGTGAGAAACAGCAAAAGAAAGTTGTCCATGCCGGTAATTACACCTGTTGAAAATAGCAACTTCATTAATGAACGAAAAAGAGAGAAAAATAAAAGATATACGATAAAGGAATTTCAAATGCTGGTAATAAAACGAA